AACTGCGGGGAACTCTGCAAAAAACGCATCTTCGCACGGGCAGCCCGTGCGTTGGCCATTTTTTATCAAAGCCATGCTGTTCTTTTTTTTTTTATCAAAGCCAACGCCATGTTCGTTTTTTATTGAAGCCAAATCAACGCAGTGTTCGTTTTTTTCAAAGCTATGCTCGTTTTTTTTTTCATATTTTTTGAATTATCCTCTTAAGTTACTTGAGGATTTTACCACTAATATAAACATACATTGTTCAGGACACATAAAAATCGACAAAACTCTGATGTTTCACATGTGCTACCTAGAATACTAAGAAAACCCAAACAACCCCTGTGGGAACTCAATCAAGGATATACAAAATAATACGTGAAGGGCAAGTCAGACGAAAACTGATACAGTTCAGGGCAACAGAAATTGGCGAAGATTTGTTTCCATTACATTATTTCCAGGAAAATTCACAATTCCATGCTCTCCGCTCGAGACCAAAATCTTGCTCATACTCTTCAATCCGTATGCCAAAACTTCAAACTTAGTCTAACCAAAATCCCGAATTTTTAATCAAACTTGTTGACCTTGGTCGGACAGTTTTTACGCGTTTTATGCTGTGTAACAGCAGCACAAAACACATATTGTCACGGGGTTGTCTGTGTATGTGTTTGTGTGTGTGTCCGCAGCAACTTATCCGCAATTTCAAATCGGGAACCACAAAAGCTAGGAAGCTGAAAATTTATGGGAATGTTTCCCACCCACGTGTGACCCCGCAAATTTAAACTCAGCTCCCCTGTACCCGCGGGTAACACGTACGGCCCCGTGAAAGTTTTTTACGGGTAAATTAATATCTCGGAAAGCACGGAGTCTAGGAGGCTGAAATTTTACGGTAATGACTCCTTGCCCACGCTCAACCTTACCTATTCAAATTCAGCGTTCCCACGCTCTTGAGTATCACCTATGGCCTCGTGAAAATTTTGGTGGGTAAACTATTAACTCGGGATAAAGACATTCACCGTTCAAGGTTTCGAATTCAGCTTTCATGCGCTGGTGCGTGAAATTTTTATTCCAATGTTTGAACTATTTTTGCACAGGATAAAGTACAAAGCGGTGAAAATCATTAATAGGCAATCGTTCGATGGGCTGAATTGCACAAAATGCATGATCGCACCGGCTAGTCTGGTGCGTGTTGCTATTTATTTTTTTGTATTTTATATTCTGACCCCGATTGTACTGCTGGTGTTTGCAACCGTCCGGACGAGTTTTTCATAGTCTTTATTAATATGATCCTGATACGGCTCGTACTGGTCTTCCTATTTTGCCACTGACTGTATTGGCCGTTGTTTACAGTCTTCTCCCCGGGGCTGTTTATAGTTTTTTCTCGATATGATGCTCATAGGGCCGTTACGGCTCGTATTGCCCTTCCTACTTTACAACGGATATTGCACAAAACACAAAAACCAGCATTTATGAAGTTTTTGTCTGTTAAAATCCTACATTTTGAGGAGTATTCGATGGCGCATCCGGCGGCGGCGGCAGCGACATCCCTAAAAACAAACGTTTTCACTTAAAACACATAAAAAAAAAAAACAATGTATACTTGGACGTGTGGTGATAAACGAAAACAAACGAGGCTGCGAGCGGAATGAGAGGATCTCCTTAAATTTATGCTTTTTTGCATCTTATGCAAATGCAAAGCGTATAATTTCAATCAGAAGCAAGTGAATTTTGTCACTCATTTCAACTCAACAACAAGGAGAGCCATGATGCAACACC